TCCACTATAGTTTTCAGACTCTTCAATCTCCCAACTCGCTTCACAAGGTGATACTAATTACAAGCCTAACAGCTTGCGCTTCTCTATACAACTTCCATTATAACAAAGCTTAGCTGGGCGACATGAGGTTGAGTGGTATCTGAAATGCAGTGGCTAGGAAATACTACCTTGCGATAATTAAGTGGCTGGTTGTTGCTAGATCACTTGGAGTTTGGGATCACTAAAGCATCGGGGATCTATATTTAACGATAAACTTACTTGTAAATATTAAATTAAGTCAACGGAGTATTATATACTTCATTTCATTGTTCAAGTTCAATGTCCTATGCGGTATCTATATACAGAATCATGAAGACGGTAAGCCGTGTTAAGAAGGGAAAATGCTTTCAAGCAACAAAACCTATAGTCCCGCTGCGACGGCACAGCCCAGCTTGATATTGAGGTTGTCCCTTCGTTCCATTCAATTTTGTTTCACCCCAAATGTTTACTCCTCTATCGCCCCGATCCCTACTCAGCTGAAGTTTGGAAGATTCCTTTCACCATCCTTCTCTCCTCTTTTCGATGCCGGAATCGTTGGAACTGCCGGTGTCATAGCCCTTAATGTGTTTAGTACTGACGTTGAGTCTGCGATCACCTTTCGTGGACGTCCTGGTCCCCTCTTCTGGGGTTCAACCTTGCGATTAGTGACCAGTGTAAATCCTTAATCGTCGGTGGTCGCAGATGCTGTTTGCAACGCAATTATGGGACTTGTTTCCCTTCGAATTTCCGCCGTTCGTTCCAGAAGCTCGAAGCGGGCTTTCTGATCACTCCCCTTGTAGACTTGAAATGTTCGACATGACGCTCTCTGCCACGAACGATGTTCCTTGCCACAGTTGACGCAAGAAACTCTTTTCCTAGGACAGTCCCGGTTTTGGTGGGTAGCTGCGCACTCACCGCACCTAGCTGCCTTTCCGTATGACGCCTACATATGTCCCCATGGGCTGCAGTTGTAACATTGCTTTGCCTGAGCCCTCGGGGACCACACCTGCGCTGAACATAGCATGGCATTAAGGACAATGCCATATCGAACAACTCGTTTCTGTAAGACCTCCGTGGGAAGACCCAGAACAATTGAGCCCCTTGTGCGGCCATTTGTCTTGGTCCGCTCGATCTCCTTTCCGTCGTGCATCCATCTTATTCTGTTGATCTTTAGACCTGGAATTCGTACTGCTGTAGACGATTCTATCTCCCGTATCAATGTTCTGTTGTTGGCATATTTGCCTCCTTTAATTTTCGTCCTCAACGGGACTCCGTAAACTTGCACTGGAAAATCTTGCCTTAGGACCTGAAAGTTCTATGTTTCTGCCATGTTGAGAGCCACGTCTCTCTGGATCGCTGACTGAACAAACACCTCGGTGTCATTGCTCCGCATCTGTCGCACTGCGTATGGCCCTGGAATATAATTTTGTGCCCTCGTTAGCAGCTGTGCTGGCTGCATGTCTTTTGCACCCTCGACGCGTATTCAAACCGGTGTTTTCGCCGTTGGCGGCGCTGCCAACGACGCGTATGTTCTTGGTGCCGGCGGCCCAGAAATTATTGGAACCGCGTTGCGAGCGGGCTCCGCGAGACTCTTCTTGACTGCTTCTTCAAGAGCCAACATCCTTTCTTCGATGGGAGATTTCATCTTCTGCATCTCCTTCCAAGCCTTGTTGTGTGCGTTGAAGGCCCTGACGGCCTCCGCGATGTTTTCCGTGGTGATGGTAACGCCATCGTCGTCTTCATCTGAATAAAGAGTCCTGAGCTTTTTTAGTAATAGCCGTAGGATATTTAGATTCTTATCTGGAGGAACTGTTGGCGCTCCACTGCCTTCGGATTGTTTGGCCATTGTCGCAATTTGCGACGCCTCAGGACCGCTGGATCCCATCGAACCAGCACCAGCACCAGCACCTACCATGGTGTGGTACAGTGGATATGGGAACGGAAATGGGGTAAGATTGATGGGAAATTTCGATTTACGAAGTCAATATGATGAAAGAGGCGGCGTGGAGTGCTGCGCGGCTTTTCGTGAAAAATGATGTTCTGTTGATATTTATTTCAGTATTATATATTATTAATTCATATTGAGAAGAGAGTTCGATATCATATAGAGTGAGTGTGAGTGTTTATTGTACTTATGAGTCTATAACTATGTAAGGACATGTAGGTCCTTTCTGCCTACAGGCCAGGAGTATCTATGCCTCGGGTAATGTACTCCCTCCTATGCCTCCTTCACGACTTATTTCCAGCAATAATACCCCCACAGGTCTTCATTCGAGTACACACTAAGAGGAGCTGTCATCCCGTCATTATCTCTCCTCTCCAGCCAACGAAACAATGGCCATTGGCGGGTGTGTAGCTGCAGGGAAAAGTCTCAAAAACTACTAGGTGCGGCGCTCTCCTATGACGAAGAGGCCGGCCAGCCGGGCGCAACAGACCTGTGTATACCTAGAAGTGTCTCTCAACCTTCCTAGCCTCCTCCTTACTCCTCCTCCTTACTCCTCCCCCGATTCATGCCGCAGGAAAAATCGTAGGTCGTGAAAGGACGTCAGAAAAGTCTTGGTCGAGAGTGACTGCCGTGAAGAAGCCTTACCTAACATCCAAAAGTCGTTCCGGACGTGGGGTCGTCGGGTAACTCATGTATTTCAGATGCCCTCCTAGCTAGCAGATTCGGAAGTTAAGATTAGTAGGGACGGTAATGTAGACGAGTCAAAATCTGCTTTTCTTGAGGGCTGAAGGGTTTTTTATTTTGCTTTCGTGGGCTTTTTGTTCGGCCGCCGGTGGGTAGCACATGTTGTGATATAACGAGGGCTTCTCTGGCTACCGTTGTAGCGTTTGGTAACGCATTATCTTTCCTCATTCCTAGCATCATTTTCATCGTCTTGGTCGTCTTATGTGTTATGTGTTATGTGTTATCGGAAGCGTATCTTTGATGGAGGCGGAAATAAATCAGCTCAAAGTTGGTAAGGCGTTACTAAATCTCGGCTCTGCAGACTTTACAGTGAGAGCTGGAGGTTCGTAGGGGACACCACTGACAGGTGTTGAGAATAGTCCCCCAATACCATTATGATGTATGCTTGCTTACACAAACAGTCGACCGTCCTCCTTGAGTATTCACTAAAGGGAAATTCGTAGCCTGTTAGAAGTAAGAACAATTGGGGCTTTCAAGTAGGCCACGTTGGTGATACATACGTGACTTCAAATTCTGTACTTAGATTTACTTCGGTACTTACTTGGATCAATGCGCTCTACAACCTCAATGACTGAGGGGTCATTGTGTTGGAAATTCAGACTCTATGTGTCTGAAGTTTCCCATGATTGGAACAACTAAGATTCTCACACATAACTCACGGCCTGACTCACGACCTAGATGATTGATATCTCCCTTACTGAGCATGTTTGATGCTTGAGACTCGACTAGTGCATGGTATGGTCTGATACACGTGTAGGCTTTCATCCACCGACGCTGACCCCATACTCATGTTGTATACTGTCGTGCGTTTCATTGTCATTGCTAGAGTATGGAACGAGTGATGGATGGTATCTAGTCTGGATGTGGTTTTTCAAGATTACATGTATATAAGCTGTCTAGGAATCACCAAGACAGATAAATCTAATCAATTCAATTCATTCAACCTATCTTTTATTTCTCCATAGTATATCACATATTCTCCCGATTCATATCATTATTATTCTATTCATAAAATCGCGCCCATAGTCTTTGAGCCGCCTTACTCATCGAACCCATACCGATTTTCCAACACATTGTGTCTTTAAAACCATTGATTATCCAAGCATGCCTTCCTCATCCATGTATACCAGCGCCGCAAGAAATGTGGTTGTGCTTCGCCGGATTTGAACCAGCGATCTACTATCTCGAGAGGGATGTATGTCCAAGCTATCCAGACTCTACTTGGCAGACCGGCCAAGACGATGTACCACCGCACCATCCAACCATGGCGGTGTTTGCAGTATCGACTACACTCTGTTAGTCACTTTTCAACGGTTTTGTTGAATGTGGTATATTCTTCGATTTTATAAAAGTTACAAATACTTGCAATTAGCGATGGTTTATCTATGAGTAACATTATTAGAGGCGTAAGACACTTATACCAACGATAATAAACAAGTTACGTCCAAAGCCTGAATCTTTTACAGATCATGAACACCAATTTTATTCAGAATGTTAAGCATAATGATGCGGGTTTATGTCAGAGTTAAATCCATCAAAAGATATAGTGTCTGGGGGTGGTATTTCACCTACTCATGTAAACTAAGCTAGGAAGTTCGTGAGGCCTGACTAGCAGTACATAGATTTCGTCCGTGTCAATAGAGCTTTCTGGTCAACATTTATAACGTCATATCGTGTCCCACACATCTTTCTTAAGACATAAACAACGGACTTTTGAAACATATATTTCAATGCATTTAATCCAAAGTAGCGATACTTCTTTGATGTTTCATCGCTGCAAACGAAGACGACCTGCATAGAATGATACTCGAAAGCTCAGATAGCCCTGCAGTTAAAAATTAATTTGTGCATTAACTTTCGACTCACTAGACATCAAGTCCCCACTCTCTTACAGTTTACTAAAAACTCCAATGAAATCATCCACGAGGTTTTATCTTACTTTTCTATGAAACTTAGAGGTTTTAAACTTCGGTCTCGTCATTAATTACCCAACACTTTATGATCCTATATTGAGCCACTTTTAGCTGTTATTGATGTTATTTGGCCCTTGGAAGTATTAGACCTACGTAGGTACCGTCCGAAAGTCCCCAAAATGTAGTAGAAAATGTCATTTTGTAAACTTCAGTTCTACTTATTGTTAATGATATTGGGAAATCTCTCCTATTTATTGTCCGAAACAATTTTATTCAGGAAAAATCTTTTTATCAGCACAAGCACATAAGTTCATTGCAGTCTTAACAGCTGGATCTGAGCATCTCAATTTTAGCAGCATGACGAAATGGCATCTCTATTTTTAGGTAGGTAAGCCTCGTGCCTTGCGACTAGCTTTCTCTTTCTTCTGTTCAACCCTTGCTAGAAATTCTTGTCGTGCTTTGTAAGCACCTTTACTTTTGCCTGCGGCATGGAGTTCTTCTGAAATACCCTCTTTATCAACGAAGTTTGACCAGTCAATGGCGCTTTTTTCAACAGTATTTAGCTTTTTCAGTGGTTCCGGAATGTTTCTTTCAATTTGATGACTTCTTTTCCCAATGCTAAGATGAAGATCATCCCTAGGGTGTAAATTTTCATTGATTGGCTCGAATCTAGACCTTCGGGCAAGTCTAGGTGGTCTTTTAAATGATACCTTACTGTCTGATGACGTTACCGTAGTCATAGAAAGCTTAGAGTTTGCTTCAGATTGAAGTTCGCTTTCGCTTGAGTTGACGGGCGGAGGTTGTGGTTTTAAGTCATATTTATCTACAACCTCGTTGATTTGCCTAGCCACTAATATGGAGTTAGATGGCAGGCTTGGTACATAGTTTTTTGGGCGCATTTTTATATACATCCCTTCAAGAGTCTCTCCATGTTTAGACTTTATGCAGGAAGAGGACGGAGGGGGTAAGAATGAATTATGTTGTTCATTTGTTTCATTGCTTGTAGATGGCAGCGGTTTTCCAGAGAGCATTGCTTGCCAAACCGCTTCAACATCGATCGTTGCAGAATTACTTACTAATGGATTTTTTGGTTCTTTTTCTTTTTTCCCCCTATTTCAAATTCAGATTGAGTCTGGTATTAAATCATGATAAACCTACTCCAAAGCACGCATACTTCTTGTCATGATAGATTTGTTCTTTTTCATTTGCCCTTCTGTTATGTTTTTCTTAGACAGGGCGATAACCACTTCGTCTCCGGAAGCATTACAATCTGAGACGACTTCTTCTTTAGCTAAATGTATCCTTTTTCTTCCAAGACCTTTTGCCGATACTTCATCTGGTTCAGATTCGTCATCTGAGTATACTTCTCCAGATATTTGGGGGTGAGTCTGTGGTAAAAAATCGGAATCCTCCGAAGAATTATAATCTTCATCTTCCATGGAAATGAGAATTTGTTTGTTAGCGGTCATTTTGTGATGTATGATATACTAAGATCTTGAACTGAGAAAATCGGTAGACTTGTGGCCACAGACTAACAAATTTGTATTTGCATTACTTTGATCGACGCTATCCACTTACCCCGGATTTTTAGATCAATGGGGCCGGAACTAATCGGTTCCATTAGTCAGTATCGTCATCGACCTTAGCTACATCGGTCACGCCCACAGTTATCATCACACGTTTCTTGTTAAGCTATGTATGAAAGTGTCATTGAATACATCCATTCCCCAAGTCTATCAAAACTCTGCGACAATACACAGTTCATATGCCAAATTGGGACTTGTCAGCAGCATTAACAATGAATAAGAACCATAGAGAAGGCGTATGATAGTGTATTCTGTGACAGAAATTTGTATTCACGGCTCAATTCAAATAGGCCATACATATATTAACTAGTATTTAGCTGAGAGATGCAAAATCAAGGGCTCTATTTGGGTTACATGAAAAATAGCGCAGCTAGTTTGGTTTGATTTCATTTAACCTCAATTGGTACCCTATGGGCCTACGCAAGTGTATATCGTACTCTCTAATTTACATGAGAGGAAACCTTCTTGCGAAAAACCCCAAACCTTTTTATTTATTTTAATAGTTTTCCTTCAGGAAACGCAGTTACACTATAGTGCCCTTCATGTTAACCAATCACATCATCCCTATCGAACTCAAGAAAGGCATGACCTGTTCCTTTCCCTCAGCAGCATTTCGACTGCCTTTCTCATCTGGAATTGCTCTATCCAACAATGACTTAGGAACTACTGTGTTATTTTTTTGATACCTCCAGGGTTATTTATCATGAATTCGTAGGACGAATCTTTGGCTTGTCTCCAAATCTCTCCTCTTCCATTTGACCATCGGGGACAAGACATAATCATGTGCTTGGGGTTCTGCGATTGGTAGCCACATGTACAGGTTGAACTGTAGACTTTGGGTGGTTTTTTCTGTATAAATACGAATTAAGCCCCGTTTACTCACTTCGTATTTGCACCGCTAGATTGCTTTAAGCAGCGACAGCTCGTTGAGTTAATTTTCGTCCAATTTCATTAGGCGAAGTGGCCTTACTAGTTCTTCATGAGCGATGCGAAAGGTATATTCGTAACTCACTGAATAAAGAACTAGTCTTGGATAGATATGATAGCACCATCACCTTAGAAAAATTAGCTATGAAAATTCAGTCTAGGCTGTACATGCGACGAATGAAAAATGATTAAATTATTTACTTCCTCATGTAATGCAAGGGTTTCAACCCAACGATAACTTACGTGGTTGATAGTCAAGTCGTTTCTCGATAAGTCAACACCGCAAATGCACACCAATTTTGCATATACTGGCCCAGCCTAAAGCTCGAATATGGGGTCCATTAAACTCGTAGCTACATCCATACTACTGATTTCATTTTTTACATTTGTTGCCTTCTTTGGGCGATTACCTCAATTTCGGTATGCAAACCTCTTGAAGAGTTGCCCTAGTAAACTTATCTCACGCACATTAGAAATACTCCTATCGGCTGGCTATACAGGCTATTATGGATTAGAATACCTACGGCACTCCGATACCTAGATATTAAGTTAACACGAGGTCGTCTTAGCCCATGGGTTATCAAACAAGCGCATCATCTCTGGAATGACCGACATCCAGTAGTACTTGTAGGTGTTATCGAAAAAGTTAATTCCTTGCTTGATCTATCACACATATAAACATTGAGAGGTCTAAATTTACAGCACCTGAATCCTAGAAGCATGTATAGACATTGGCTCTAGTCCTTCACTTTACCACTACGATCAGATCTTCAGCCCCTAATCGCATTATTCAGCAGTTTATACTCTGGAACAGCTTCTAACACTCTGTAGATATTCTTCATGATTCTTTTAGGCGCATCTGAAGTGATGTTTTTGCCCCCGGCATGGCCTTTACTGTCGACTGTCCGGAGGTGCAGTGCTTTCATTGTCGTTGGATTACCTTGGTTATTCCTCTATGCTTCAGCAGCAAGCGATCCAGGATATATTACGCGGTCTAACCACTCGCAACAAATGTCATTATATCCATACAATTTTGCTATATTCTACCCAGGCCAATCATGTCGCACCTGCCTTCTCCTCAAGCCAGCACGCTCGAAACATTGTAGTATCTGTAAACGATGTATATCGAAACATGATCATCATTGTATTTTTATCAATAATTGTGTCGGTTATGGGAACTATCACTTTTTTCTCTCACTTCTTGCTTCCACAGCATTTTTATCGACCTACGCAACATATGTCGGTCTCTCGATACTTTCGGACCTTGTTCGCATAGAAATACCTAACTGGAGTCTTCGAGGAAAGGGCTATGCATGGAGCCAATATTTTAATACTTTAGCATGGGCACTCAACCAGCAAATGAGAATAGGCGCGGTCACGCTTCTATGTCTACTGACTAGTCCCCTGATATTAGGTCTCCTGAGCTATCATTTATACCTCATTTGGGCAGGAATGACGACAAATGAGTCTATGAAGTGGTCCGACTTGCAAGCTGATATTTCAGATGGATATGCGTTTATCCGAGCTCTACCAAAGGATCGCCAGAAAGATGATAGGTACGAGCCTCTATGGACACAATGGCCCAAAGAAAGCGATTACATACTTACTCGCTCACACGACGGCCTTCCGCGCCATAACATCATAGGTACTGGTGAGTGGGAACCAGTGTGGAAACTCGATAATATTGAAAACCTATATGATCTTGGGCTCGCTCAAAATCTGAAAGATATCTTTCGGCCTGCAAATTCTTTCAAAAATTCAGAACATACAGGTTGAAATTTGTCTAAACGACCAACTATGAACTAGAGAGCTAAGTATATATGTTGGATCAGAAGCTATCTTCCTTTATTATTAATACAGTTACAGTTACAGTATCAAGATGATCTTAATTATCTCTTTGCTGCTTCAATCTCCGAGAAAGTCTCACAAAGCCAATCTTCTAACAATTTGATGCCTTCACCAACCGGATGAGTACTAAAGCTCAAATGACTCACCTTAAGGACAAATTCAACGTAAAACAAAGCAGTTTATATATTTTCCTAGAAATTTGGTCTAATCAATTACACTATGAAATCATAGCTTGTAGCAACGCTATGAAAACTCAAACATTACACTATTGAAACTTGGCCCTAATCCCCACGTTGACAAGGATTGTAAGCTGGATACTTGTACATCAGTTCGATAAAGAAATATTCTATTAAAGAAGTTCTCTTGATCTACCTAATCGCCAATCTGCTCAAACTATGGCTACAAGCAAGCCGGACATGAATTTATACGATAAGATATGACTGATGGAAAGTGTCAAACAGAGCTGTGCATGATGTACAAATATAAATCGTGAAAATTATGGATGAGGCAAGCAAAAAACAAGTAAAAACAAACTCAATATCTCGGGGTGCAGATAAATTTTAACTCTAATTATATTTTAATCGACAAGTATTTGGAACTAAGACGACACTCGAAAAATTGGTTGGTGGCCATTGGTGATGAAAAAAAATTCAGTTACACTAAAAAATAACTAAAGTCTGAAAATTCTATTAATCAAAAAATCTAATATCTGTGCAACGCTTAAAACACGAACCTCGGGTACAGAAAAAGGGTGAGAATTAACTCTGTCAGGGATGGAGTTTCTCAAATTGATATGATATCAGCTTTTATTCTTCTAGGATAAATGCTCTTTAAACCTATATCTGATTCAAATTGACACACGGTACTATAAAGATAATATAGCACTGTAGTGCATTCTTGAAGAATAGCTGTATCAGGATTCCAAAACCAAAGGATAATTAAGGAATTATTTGTCTCAAGAATTCCCATGCATTTTGCACTTCAATCTTTCAAAAATGCTGGAGATCAACCATTAAAGGTTAAAATTACAGAAACTATTGATGATAAAATTAGCCCCATGCGTAAAAGAAAGAGCGGAATACAAATCTAGAAATTGGATTGATATAGATAGTCAGCTATCATCGATAGAAATTTAAATCGAATATGACTGCAGCTAGCAACGGAGACTTCTATCTAAAAGTAGATATCAACTTAGCTATGCATAATATCTGAATCTCTCCATCCAAATCAAAGTGGCTTAAGAGCGAAAAATGCGACGTTTCTTCAAAAAGAAATCCGTCTTCAAAAATTTTTATTGCCATGATCCAAAGACACTTTGTCCGTAGGATACTTGAATCTTGTTGGAATGTATGTCTTTTACCAGGCGCTTAGTGCGGTGCGTCTCTCTATTGCTGAGTCATTGTCTTGATGACTCAGCCAATACCGCGAACTGGACGTTCGCAGTGTTCATAGATAGAAAGAATAACAACAAGAATCCATACCTTGTGAAACATTAAGTCATGTTCAGGCATTCAAGTTGGTGTCTCGTCTAATTCCGTCGTTTTACAATCACGGGCTTATTGTTTTTGCGGTTGTTTTGAAATTGTTATCTCCGCATAACGAAAGAGTTAGCGTTTAAACGTCGCTCTGGATGTTTCGGATTGAACTGAGGTAGAAGTTGGATCAAATATGATCATTAGATATATAGAAGAGGTTCTGACCTTAAAGAAAAGAAGGAGGATAGACAGATTTGTTTTACAAAATGCAAACCTCATTTTTCCTAAAAAGTCTAATATACCTCACTCTCGTACCTTCTGTTTTGGATTGAACTAACCTTTCGTATACGTAAAATAAGGCCAATCGACAAATCTAGTATTTAATTAATACCATTTGCATTCTGCTATAGGTATTCTACCAAAAGTATTAGCTTCGTGAAAATATCAGAATACAAAGCATGAAAGCCGATTAAATTAGAGTTGAATAGTTTACTGGGAGAAAAGGTATATTAATCTGGAGCTTGTTAAAACCAAGAAAAAAAGTGTTACTTTTTACAGAAAGCAGCGCAGTGCTCTACGCTTCCTATCTCACTAACTTGACATCATAAACTTTACGTTAACCTCTAACTTGCTCATTTCCTGCAATCAGAACCCAGCGTGTGCCAAAATGGTAGATTCGATAGCTAGTGTAAGTATATTCAGCTGTCTTAATGCGTCGCGAAAGGCGAAAGTAGCATCCCATTCCGAATGTAGTAGTGCAAAATTAGCACTCAAAGACGTGAACTTGGAGATCTCGCTTTCCTTTTTGAAAAATCTAGCATAATTTTATTTGAATCAAGCCTATTTTGATGTTACGTAAACCATGGAGGAATTGAAGAATTATGTAAAGATACGAGGAGCCCACAAAGACCGGCAGTATGGCCTGTCAATGCAATCTCCAAACAAGGAAATTATGCTCAATTGTTAAAATTGTGGAGTACAGGGAACAGGCAGGTGATGGTTAATGGAAGTAATTGATGAAGGGGTTTTTTTATTTTTTTATTTTTTTATTATATTAAAGTCCTAAGCTAAGGCTCTAGGTCCACTATCGGTACAAGACTGGTGGAGCCGGCGGGGATCACTGCTTACAGGCCCAACTCATTCCAACCGCGTGACCCGCTAGAGAAAAAGTAGCAGGTAAATTATAACTCAGAAACTGTAATCAAAAACTAAAATCAAAACTAAAAGCCAAAGACTGAAATCAAATTTACAAGATTTTTCATGTGGTCCGGATCCCGCGCTTCTCGCCCGTTCCCTTTCCTGCCACATCTTCCAAATGACAAATTTACTCAATCTCCGCTGAGAGCAAGAGATGAGATAGCAGGCACTTTTTATCCAGCCGGTATCCTACTATTGGTTAGTATATGCCCCAAAAGGGACATCGTCGAGGTTGCTGTGTCCTCAAACTTCTTCTTCAAATTCCAGAACTCCGAAACCTGTAGCCTCGGCCATCGAGACGTCCTTTGCAGCGGCGGTGATTGCCTCTTCGGCCTTCTTTGCTGTTGCTCGTGCTCGTGCCACCTTCGCGAACTCCCCTTGTTCGATGTGGCGGATCCACGCGAGCTGCTCTTTGGTCACCGGTCCAGACTTTCTGTGTCTGACTTTGCAGTCCCGGGAATCCGATCGGTGGGGTCCCCCACAGTTGCGACATTTTGTGAGGGCCTTGCACTCGGCTTCCGAGTGCATGTTTGATCCGCAGTTCCAGCACGCTGGGGCGCGGGAGCAACCACGGGTGGCGTAGAAGCCCAAACAGCGTTTGCACTGTTCAATTTGGCGACGAGGCTGGATCTTTGTAGCCGCTCCGGACTCGTCGAGAATTCGGAAGCCCGCACGAGGGGCGGAGTCCCGGTTGAAAAGGGCATACCAGTTTCTGTATGGCGCTCCAGGACGACATGTCCCTTGCGGTCGCACCTGGCATGGACGTCGTTGTGTTTTGCGGTAAATCTCCAGTGAGATCCTACCGGCATCGACCGTCTCAATACGGTTGATTAATTTTATAGTCGCTGGAACATTCGCGATCCGAAAGGCGACAAGGTTGGAGGCTTCCTCGATTTTGGCATTGAAGTCCGACAACTTCGGTGAGGCATCTAAGAGCTCTTCCCTTTCATTTTCATCCGCTGTCAGAATCGCAAATCCGGTTCTGACACGGTGTATAGAGCTTTTTTCACTCAAGGTGTACAGTAGCCTACAACATAATTGATGCCGTATGCCGTCAGGCGAAAGCTGGCGCCATGGGTGATCGCTCTCTAAGCGAAGGAACAGTCGTTTGTCGACTTTAGCCTTCGGAGCTTCTTTATTTTGGGCTTTTGCCGCAGGTCGCGGAACAGCCTTTACAGTTGGGACTGCTTTTTGTTGCAGTCCATTTCTGGCCACCGTGGCCCAGGTGCTTTTTATAGGCAGCGCTGGGACGGCGGAAATCGTTGTGCTCCTGACGTCGGGAGCCCTTGGGATCGGGTTCGCCGGGCGAGGAGGGAGGACGGGTGGCGTGGAGGCCGGGCCCGTGGCCATGTATTGCGCGATGGCTGCGCGTAGGTAGACTCTCATCGAGTCTACAAATTGTCTGTTTGACCCGTTGGTCAAAGGAAGAAGGGTGACTTCGACGCCAGAGATGGCGGCGGAGCAGAGGGCCAGATTTGCCGCTGTTTCGGCGGCACGTCGTTGCTCGGCTTCGATAATGGGTCGAAGTTCCGGAGGGCGATCTGCTTTCGTGGCAGCTTTGGGCTGCGACGTTGATTTTGACGCTGCTTTGGGTGCAGCGTTCTCCGACAGTTTTGGCGCGGTCGGGGGAGATTTTGACGATTCTCCAATCCCGTGGGGGACGGAGGATGGTTGAGGAATTTCCTCAATAATTTCGACTGACCCGATCATGTCAGTATCGGGCTCAGTGACGGTGGGGAGGGCTTTTTCCTTCCCTTTGGTAGAGACGTTGCTCATCTCCGCGCATTTCGGAGACTGGGCAAGGCCAGGTAATTGTTGGAGAGCCCTCGGGTGGACTCTCGTGTTGTCCAACTTGACGTTGGGGCGCTTTTTGCGAACTGGAGGCATGGTGAAATGCCTGAGCTCGATCACAATTCAGAGATAGATGCGACGAGGTCGAGAAGGGAGGAAAGAGGGAAAAAATGAATTTTCGAATTTTCGAATTGATGAAGGGGTTTTTTTTTTTTTATAATATTAAAGTCCTAAGCCAAAGCTCTAGGTCCACTACAGGTACAAGACTGGTGGAGCCGGCGGGGATCACTGCTTACAGGCCCAACTCATTCCAACCGCTGGACTTGCTACAGAAATAGTAGGAAGTAAATTACGACGCGGACACCACCTACTCCAACTCCTAGATCAAAAATCAATCCTTTTCCCTAAATCCAAATAGCTACAATCTTTCCTCAGAGAAACGACACTTCTCGCCTCGTTCCCTTTCTTGTCATGTGTTGTGGCAATGACTAGTTAATCTGATCCCCGCTGAGAGCAGTGGATGAGTGAGCAGGTCGTCTATCAAAACAGCCGGTTTCCTGCGCAAATATTTTGAAGCTTTCGTGGCACTTGGGCCCGAGAAGCTTTTTGACAAAGTCAGCGTGGGACATTGACTTTCTGAGCCTACGCGTGTGTTGTGCGTGGCGGCTACAGTGGATGAAGTGGGTTGGAGTAGTTTCCTTCCCGCAAGAGCACTCCATAGGAGCGTGTAGGTTATTAAAACGGCGATTGTATGCCGCAAAATTGCCGTGACCCGTTCGGGCTGCAATTAATTCTCGGAGCAGGTGCCTAGAGAGAGCTAGTTCGGGTGGTTTGCGTCGCCGAACCTGTAGGTTGAGTTGGTGGTATTTAGGCGGACAAGCCTCTATCCACCAGTCTTCCAGCAATTTTTGCCGCCGGTGATTCATGTGACCACGAAGATATGCCAGAGGACATGATCCTGGATGTGTCTCCTGGCTAGGTAACTCTCGGAGTGCGGCACGGGCAATGGTGTCTGCCTCTTCGTTCCCTTGTATCCCTGCGTGCCCTGGCACCCATTTCACTGATATTTTTGCCTTATTGGATGACGCACGGAATTTGCGTACATCTTCAAGGCTAGTTGAGGATGAGCCCGTCGTTAGTGCGCTTACAGCCTGCTGGCTGTCTAGAAACACGTGAATTTGCTGCGACCCTCCTACTTTCCTAGACTTTCCGTTATCCAAGAACTCCAGTGCGGCTTCTAGAGCCTTCCTTGCTCCTATTATCTCTGCATCCAGCACCTCTCCCCCGTGCTTGATGCCACTTCCTTTGCCTATGTCTTTCCCATCCTTTTTCAGAACGAAACCCCAGGCAGAGCGTCCGTGTCCTTCCGATGAACCATCTGAGTATGCGCAGATGTCCGTTCCTGTCACGTTATTGATCCATCCAACGCTGTCGTTGCGTTCCGTCAGCCTTGAGCCTAACTTTTTAGGGTAGACTACCGGCGCCAGGGCCTCGGGGGCCTCTGCTTCCGGGAGCTCTCGATAAGCACGCTGTAACCGTGACATTTGGATCTCTGGTCTGGCAGAGAGTTTGGCGGTCTTTTTGTACTTTCGAGTGCCGACATTCGGGCACACGGAAGCGCGGATCCTCAACGGGTGTCTATCATCAAGGGTCTTAAGCCTTGCCGAAAGTCGGAGTCGGTTTCCCTCAAGTATGACCTTTGCCGGCGGGATTCCTCCTTCTCTGTGAACGGCTACGTTTGGCGTTGTCCTCATCACTGGCAGTGCAGCCCGCAATCCCACCAGGTTAGCTTTGTCAATCATGCTGCAGAGGTTTGAGGTAGATGACGTGACCATTCCTCGTGTGGTTGGGCGTTTGGACCCTGGCCACCAGACATCAGATCCAAAAGTTGCTAGAGAGACAATGCACATGTCTACTGCGCCGACTAACGGCCCGGGGGCTGCTCCTCGAGAGGTAGAGTTGAAGCGGCGCATATGCTGTGCAGCTTTCATCGCTTTGCCGCACCAGGTGGTTACGTGGTGTTTGAAATTGAG